ATATATGTTTATAATTGTTTTGTCTTCCCGTTAAACTGTTTTTTTGTTTTTGTTGGTAGCAGAGACCAAACTCATGACCTTGTGCTTGCCAGGCAGATGCTTACACAACTGAGCTAAATCCCTGGCCCTAAATTGTTTTCTTAGCTAGTATGTAATGATCTTTTTGCTGCTTCTGACCAGTATTATCTTGAAGTTTACTTTGTATGATGATAAGATTGCTGCTTGTGCTTGATTTTGGGGTCGTGATACATGAAATATTGTTTTCTAGCCTTTGATTTTTCAGTCCTTGGATTTCTTTTTTGATTAAATGAGTTTTTTTAATGCAGCAGACTGTTGAACTCTGTTTGCTGAGCCAGTTTGCCATCCATGTCTTTTTACTGGGGAGTTGAGGCCATTAATATTGAGAGTTATTCCTGAAAGGTATTGATGTATTGCTGTCATTGCATTCTTGTTCTATTAAAGACTTTCTTTATTTTTCCTTTTTAAGTATTTGCCTTGCTTGATATATTCACTGAACCTGATGTTTTTTTTCAGTTTTGTTCTGTCTAGAATATGTTTTAGTACTTTTTGAAGTGCTGGTTTGATGTTCATGTATCTCTTAAGCTGTTCTTTGTTGTGGAATGTTCCTATTTCCCCATCAATTTTGAAAGATAATTTTGCGTGATTTATTAGTTGGGGTTGGAAGTTGTTTGTTTTTAGGGCTTGAAACACTTCACTCTAAGTTCTCTGAGCCTTTAGAGTTTGTGCTGAGAAATCTGCTGTAATCCTGATAGTTTACATTTATATGTGTGGGATTTTTTTGTCTTTTCTCTGACAGCTTTTAAGTTCTTCTGTCTTTTTGTTGGACAACTATGATGTGTCATGAAGAGTTTTTTTTTTTCATTGTAGTTAATTGGTGTTCTATAAAGCCTCCCTTAATTGTATACTTCAATCTTTCCTCATACTTGGAAAGTTTTCTACTGTAATTTTTGTAAATATATTTTTTAATATCATGTATACTGTCTTCTCAATTTTATCTGATGCAAGTTGGCCTTAGGTTAATTTTCTCAGCATCATCTAGTAGCTGTCAAATGAATTTTTTTGTTCTGTTATCATTTTTAAGTCTTCTGTGTTATTCCATTCCAGGCTTGACTTTGAAAACCCTCACTTCACATTGGTCATTTTGGAAACTTGCAAATTCTACACAATTTTTTATCTTTGGAATTTCTGACACATTTTTGTGCAATTTATTCTTGGTGAATTTGTCATTCATGTTTTACAACATTTCAGCCAGATTTTTCAATTTTTATTTGTTTCTCCCATATGTACATTGGTTAGTACGTATGTTAAGTTCCATCACCTTTTGTCTGACGTCCTATTTGAATTCACCTAATTTCTTTAGCTCTTCTTTAATTCTTTTTGGAAAGCTCTGCTATCTCATGTTTGCGTTCCTGTTTATCAGTGGATAGACACCAGATTTGCTTTGGAGAGTTAGAAGATTTTGAGGACTTTTGTTGCCTTTTTTCATATTTTTGTGCGTATATACATGTATATATACAATTTATTTTTTGGCACTGAGGGTAGAGGACAAATACAATCAGAAGAGTTTGTTATGAAGATGTCTTTAATTAAATCTACTTTTCAGTGATGTGTCTGTGGCTTCATTTGCCCAGGAATAATGTTTGTCCTCATACAGTTTCAATTTAATAAGGTTGAACTTTATCACTGTACTGTAGGGAGAGAATTTCTATTGGTTATAACAGTGTCAACAGAACTGAGCATACACAGTCACAAACATTTAACCTTGTTTTGACAATTTTATCCTTTTGTTAACATCCTTTACAGAATATATTGTACTGGGATGTGTGAGGTATGAGGATGTGGAGAGGAAGAATAAGGGAAAAGAGATATGTAAACGGGAAGAGAGGAAGATAAGATATATCACTAGGTTACAGAATAGGAAGTTGGGCTCTGTTGAAGTTACTGTAGAGCTGGGTAGCGGTAGGTGTAAGGGAGTAGTTTGGAAAACTGTGTAGTCAAGAGGATGTATGCCGATGGTTAGAAAAATATTTAGAGGTTAAAGGAGACTGTGAGCTTGCTAGTACCTGTTCGTATGTTTTTTGGTGGTTCATTCAGTTCCTCTAAGTCCAGTTTTGTTAAGGATTGGCCTGACATACCCTTAAATGGAACTGTTTAATTCATAGCACTGGTTAATTCTTATTCTTAATGAACTTCCACAGTATTCCATATGATTTATGCCATTAGATTGATGGAGAGGAGTTGGGAGAAAGCAAGAAGGGGAAAGTGGGGGGAAGAGGAAAACCAAGAATTAGGAGGGGGAAAGACGAAAGGACTGGACAGAAGACACACTAAAAAAAGGGAGCAGATCAAACTGGAAACCTTTGAAACTTAAAGTGTTATAACCGTCCAATACCAACAAAGGAGAACAAAAGAGAAGAGAAAGAAAAACAAAAACAAAGAATAGAAAAAAATCCCCAGAACAATAAAAATCCACCAGAATAAGCTACAGCAAACAAATTAGCAGGGTTACAGTAACCACAACTGCTAAAATAACTGTAGAAATAATAGTAAAACCCTTCCCCCGGTCGTTACAGCAGTACCCCGTGTCTCTACATAATTCCCTCTTTTGGGGCCAGCTGCCTGGTTTCCACTGGCCGTAGTTTCCTCCCGCAGAGACAGCTGCTTGTCCACAGTTAGCTCCTTCCTAATATGTGTCCTGGGCTTGAGCTCTGGGCACGTTCCCGTGTGCACCTCCAGGGATCTGAATATCCTGACTGATTTGAGGCTGAATATCATGGACTTCTCTCCCTCTCTCCTTCACTGATTTTTCTTAACTATTATGTGGCCTGGAGACCACTATTCCAGGGGACTGACCAACTGTCAGCGTTGCCCACCGAAACCACAAGAGGGTGCACTTTCTCTCTCTTAGCTCCTAGGAGCCAGCACTGCTGGCTTCTTGTTTTCTGATTTTGTTACAGAGCTAAGCTTCGCTTCCTTCTGCCATCCTGCCTCGCATTCCGGGAAGTCCCCTTCCTCCGTGGGAGGCCACTGACAACAGTGGGTAGGATGCTAAACCTTCCATGTGCCACATTCTCTTTGTATGTGGGAGAAATGGGGGCCTATTGTTGTTATTATTAAAATTGTCTTTTGGGAACCTTCTCTCTCTGCTGGTGCCTTCCACCTGCCAGCTCTGGGGACGGGAGCGCTGGTGTCTGACCATCAAATATTACCCTGTTCTGTTTTCAGTTTCTTTAAGTGTCAGGGTTGGATTCATCTACTTGCCATGCCCAGTGGGAAGGACAGCTTGGTTCTGATTTATTTAATAACTCAGACTGTTTCTGAGCGGCCACTTTTCTCCCTTCCTCAGCCTGGTTCTTTTCCACAATAGCGTGGCGCCAGGTCTGAGGTGGGGGGATGGGGTACCATGATCAAAACATGAACCGGCCCCACCACCGCCAAACTCTGGATTTTAGTCTTGCTAGGTTGTCTTTTGATGTATCATTACTGAAAAATAAAGACGATCTTTCAATCCTGCCTCAGGGTAACTGCTTTTCTTCAGTGAGGAATCAGAGATACTCATAGTTGCCCCCAGACTCTCAGGCTTTGTACTGGAACGTGTACAGATTACGAAACAAAACAAAACTTTCTTTAGTGAGAGAATAATTATGCTTTTCATTGCAGCAATTTACAAATATTCATCATGCAGGAAACCAAATGTACTTCACTGTCTGAGGATTTTTAATATGTGCTGTCTTTAGATTTTATATTTGGAAAATACATATAAATTGTATCTACAATAGTTGGAGCTAGTCATAGCACATCAGATCTGTTTTTGATTGTAAATATTTCAAGGATTCTCTACCAAAGCATTAGAAAGCTCAGAGAATAAACCACATACAAGTAAGTCAACTTCAGACAGACAGCTTATTTTTCAGCTCCTTCTAAGGTCCTTGAACTATCTTGACTTTGATAGACAGTGAAAGCCCATGAATAAAATAGTGTGGCTATAAGCCCTCCTCCTTAAACAAACCACGCTCTCTTTACAACTCTCTTCCCACTTGAAATTTCAGGATCACAACCAAATGTCCCTACGGCAATGTAAAGATTAAATAACATCTGTATGTTATTAAATACCCCTTTCACAGAAAGGGAGACAAACCTGGATGTTAAGTGACTCTCAAGGTTAGACCCACAGGGACTCCTGATACCCAAATGCAAGCTTTGGTTATGAGCTTGAGAGTTGGAGTTCAATACTTGAACTGGGCTTTACCTTTGAGGAGATCCTGGACCCCTCTTTGTTGTCCTGGCACATCATTTTATTCACCTGTAGAATGGGAAAAATAATAATAGTACATATCTCCTAGCATTAACCTCCACACTAGTAAAAGTCTAATGGGTTAGTTAAAATATTACCATCACTGGTTGATTTGAGACATCAGATTGCCTCCCTGTAAATCAGTGTCCTGGTAGCTTGAGCTTGAACTTGACATTAAACTGCAGTGTCCAGCCCACACTAGACACTCAGTAGCTGGTTGAAATATTTAGGTTCTCTCTTAAATTATCTCCTGAATAAGTTTTCCAGCTGTGATCAGGCCACCATCGTAGTAATCAACATTATGTATGTGATCCTTACTCCACTGTCTACCCTGCCTCTACAGCTGACCAGTACAACCTGAATCCCAGTGGGGAATGGCAGCTAATTCTAGGTAGTCCAGAGATAAGGGATGTTTGCTCTGGCTGGACCTGCTTATTGTTGGAAAGACCACCTATTATTTAGCACACTTGTAAATCAGCTGGAGAAACCCCAGGCTGGCTGAGAGATTCAGGACTTGTCAGCCAGACAGACGAGGGTGACCCAGCTCTGGGGACCTGGCAGAAACACAGCTCTAGGGAACTTACAAGATGAGATCACCTGTTCCTTTATCCTGGGAAATCAGTGACAGAGTCGCAATTCATTGGCCAATGGAGAGTAAGATTAGAACGAATGTCCTTAATAAATCCCCCAATGGGAAGCAGTTTTGCTTTCCCTCTGTCTCTCAGGGCACTTGGCCAAGTGGACATTGGAAAACAAGTTTTGGTGCCAGAGCTTTCGGCGTGATCTGAGGCTGCTTTTCCAGACACAGGTATTCAAATTTTCCAGCTTTCAGTGCACGACTCACTCTATCTGTGGCCTGGGAGTTGGGGGTGAATCTTAGCGGGATCAAGAGAAAAAAGATTAATAGTTTATTGTGCCAGAGCATACCCTAGCCTGCTAGCTCAGTCCGCTCCGCAATGCCAGCTGGTTGCTCTTAGCCGCAGATTACTTCCACTCCCAAGTCAGAGCTACTGTACTTTGAGACAGTACATGGCAGGGAAAGTGGAAACCAGTAAGAGCTGGGTGCTTGACTTCCGCCTCCAGCAGCAGGCACAGAGCCACATTTCCCACATCTTTCCTACTGGATGGCACAAAACCTTTCTCTTGCCTTACCTCTGTTTCTGTAGTCCTGCTATTTCTCAGCCTGCCTTGATTAACCAGTGACCTCAGAAATGCACATGCTGCTTGAAGATTAGAAATAACAGACTTTAAACTTCATTGCAAGGCTTTAAAGGGAAAGGTAAATGACAGACCGTAACCCATGCGAGGATGATGCCACGCAGGAGTTTTCTTGGTGCAGGGGAGGGGTCACCTCGTGGACACAGAGTGACCCTAAATGGAGGGAGTCATGGGTTTATAAGCCTGGAAACTACGGTTGGGGGCATGGGTGCATGGGCCAGAACAGCTGTCCAGGGGCACACAACAGGTATATTTTGGAGTGGAGCTGTGAAAACCAGGAACATCTCGGTGGGCACTGAAGTTCTTGGGAAAGTACACAGATGGGAAAGTACACAGTCTTTGTGGTCGGTGCTGCCAGCTCTCTTTGTGGATGGTTTTTGCTTTCCAGCTTCTGCAAACACTTGTGTGAGGGGCTGGGGATTTAGCTCAGCGACATAAGCACCTGCCTCGCAAGCAGGTGGTCGTGAGTTCGATCCCTGGTACCGATAAAAATAAAAAATAAAAAAAATTTTTAAAAAAACTTGTGTGGGTAGCTAAAATGCATCCTCTAGCAAGCTGCTCCCTTGTAACCCTCTCCACCCCTCACATAGAAGCTTGGTGCCCTTTCATAAAGTGCATAGTGTGACAGACTTTGAGCGCCTGAATAGATGCTAGTGATCACTGACCACCAGATCCCACACTGTTTGCCCTGCCCACGGCCCTCTAAGCAAAAGTGCAACTCTGTGTGTGGTGGCATGGCTTGCACTATGTGACCCTCTTCCTGACTGTTGCTCTTTTATGGAGAAGGGTGATTATGCCAAGCACAGAAGATCTGAAAGCTGACAGCCCCATCAGTTGGCCTGATGCTACAACTTTGCTCAAGAGCGTGGCCATGACTAAATGGAACAATTGAATATTTTTTCTCTCTCTAGAGTTTGAACCTGAATCAAACAAGGAGAGCTAGACAGAGAGCAGAAGGAAATAAGGAAAGACGTACAGGGCAGCCAAGCCAGGCAAGGGAACAGACAGGACAGTGGCCTTCCACTGCCCAGGGTAAGGGCTGTCCGGCACTGACACCTCAGCCCCTCTCCAGATTCCACGTGCATTGTGGGCTCCACTTGCACAGCCTGGCTGTGGGGTGTCTGCCTCTTGTGTCTGTAGGTGTCCCTTAGCAGGCAGCCTCACCATCCGCTCGCGTCTAATACCTGAGGGAGGAAACTAGAGTTGATCCGATCTCTTACAAATGAGGCACTTGAGGCACAGGTTACCATGTAGGTTACAGAATCCGCTCCTGACAGAGTTCATACAAGAAGCAGGCTATCCAAGGGAGGCGGCCAGAGGCCAGGGGTGAGCAAGAGACAGAAAGGTGGCAGTGACAGAGACAAGGAAGGTGGGAGAGGAGACAAGATGATGATTGATCACTCAAAAAAATATGTAAAGGCCAAGAGTTGAGTTCCAAATTGCTTAGGCCCATTCCCACTCATGACTTCTCCACAGTGAGTTCTGGGGATAGAGGACGTGTTCCTGCTGCTTCCTCTGTCTCTCTGACCTTCCCCAGCAGTGCCCACAGGGAACAAGGCTCAGGAAAGGACAGAGGGAATAGGAACATCCAGATGCAGACTGGTGTGTGCTGCAGGCAAGTCCTGACTGTGCAAATACCTAAGCACCCAGAGAAACCTTGTTGCCTCTCCCTGGTTTAGTAGAAGGGCACTAGTTTAGTAGAAACTAACTGGTTTAGTGGAACTAGGGCACTGGTTTAATGGAAACAGCCCATAAGGAACATCAGTTGGAAAGGTCTTATTCTGAAAGGCTGCCAAGCTAGGGAAGAATGACCAGGGCCAAACTACCTGGGTGGAATCATCCCTACAATGGTGTTTCCCTGCTTGCAGGCCCATGGACACGGTGCGGATCGCTGTCATTGGAGCAGGTGTGATAGGGCTCTCCACTGCTGTGTGCATTTCCCAGCTGGTGCCCCAGTGCTCCATCACGGTCATCACACACAAGTTTACTCCGAATACCACCAGTGATGTGGCCGCTGGGATCCTTATTCCTCATGCGTATGAAGGTGAGAGAGGGATTTCAGCTCTTCTGATAGAGGGTGGCAGTGTGTCCACCCAGAAGGCTGGTGGGTAAGTGTACGCAGGGTGCAGCTTTGGCATTCTGATAATGGTTCGTTGGGAAAGACTCAGTGACGCCACAGTACAAAAACAACTTCCAAATTGCAGTAGTGTAAGAATCAAAGGTTTCTTTTTGCTCACATCACACATCCATTGAGCCTTGGCAAGTGTTCATTGGTCAGCTGGGGACATAGGCCAATGGCACAGCCAGCATCCTGATTATCCTCAAGGCCTGTGTACAAGAACAAGAGGGCTCCTGAGGTCTCTCCTCTGTGGTTAAGCACTCTGGCTAGAAAGCGAGCTTCAAGTCTCTGGCAGCTCACTGAGAGAGCTACTCACATGCTCCTGCCCCTCAGAAGGAGAGCAGGACGTGCAGCTCCACAGGGTTCCCAGAAGACGGGCAGCAGAATATTCAGTGACTGCACTAACAACTGCACAGCTGACGGTTGAGTCTTTCCACTGATGTCAGTAATGACCATCAAGTCAGAAACCACTTACAAAAATTATTAACTTTTAAGGTATACACCAATAAGCAGTCAAGCTTGGCATGATACCTATAATCCTGGTGTCCCCAGTCAGCTGAGGAGTCCTTTGCTCAATTCAGATAGAAATTCTAAATCAGCAAAATGCAGCTCTGCTAGTGGACTGCCGGCGGCTGCTCTGGGCACTGCCCGTTGCTGTCACTCAGAAGGTCCACTGACTCTGCAGGGGCTACTGGCTGTTGCTGATCTTGGTCAGCTGCTGGTCTCTGGAGCTCATTAGGGCATTAGGGTTTGGCAGACAGCCCTGGTGCCCCTCTCTATGTCCTTTCCACCTCCAGTGTTGCCCTGGGAGGCACTAGGACAGCTCACCTCAGTGTCCCCCCATCATCTGCAAGGTTATGTCATTCAGTGTGAAGACCCTGCATTCAATCCCCAGTCCCACAAGCAACAACAAAGGTTAGCATATATTTAGGGCTTAAGATGTATCAAATTTTGCACACTCCGTGCATCCTTTCCTTTCTGTGACTTGGGAGGAGGAATTATCATCCCATAGGAACCAAATCAACTTTGCAGCCACCAAGGGTCACACTGCCTGTCTCCACTTCAACATTCCTATTCCTTTTTCTTTTTAGCTTTATCCATTTTTAAATTTATTTTATTTTAAGCAGAAAAATCAAGATGCAAACAGTTAAAAAAAAAAAACAAATGACGATGACTACAAAAACAAGGGCAATGTAGGATTTCAAAGCAGATGATAGGAATTTAACAATGATGGTTCTATTGCGTATCGTTGTCCTCAAAGTAATTGCTCAGGCTACCAGACATGGGCATGAAAAATACAGTAGTTTTATTTTTTTAATCAAGGCTTTACCTGCACCCCATTTAAATAATCAAATAACTTCCTTAAGTTTAGTTACAAAACCTAACAATTTCGAACATGAACATTGTCCTCTGCTTTTAATCTTTAACACAAGAATTAGTCTTTGGGTTATTTCCTCCCTCTGACACCTCTGCCCTCTTTCTGGAATTGCTACTTTTGTCCTGGAAGTTCTTTTATTCCCCGTTTCCTCTCCTATTTTTTCTTTCTCTATTTTACTCACTTTCTTAGAGATGCTCTCAATTTTATCTTTTACCCTGATACTGGATTTTTTAAATTTTTATTATAACATTTTTAAGATTCCAAAGCTGTTTTTCATTTTCTGTATTTTCCATAGCTGTAGCTATTTGTGTGCTACTTAGCTTTCTGAAGACATTAATAATGACCTTGAAAGTCTTTATTCCTGCACAGCTTTTTCTGTTTGTATATTTTTGTTTTTTTGAGACAGGAGCTCATTATGCAGTTCTGGGCTCACAGTGGATCCCAGACTAGTCTGGATCTCCCAATGATCCTCCTGCCTCAGCCTCCCAAATACTTGGAACACAAGTGTGCACCACCATGCCCTGCTCTGCACAGTTTCAGTTGTATCCAAGTTACATTTTTTTTGCCTGACATCTCATTTTTCATGATAGAGGTTTCCTTGGCCTGTCTGAGGACGTTATAGGCAACAGGGGATTGTGAGAGCTTATTGCCTGTGAGCTTCATTAGAGTGAAATGCCAGGGCTGTTCAACTGGGGAAGCCTTCTAACATTATGTTTAAGTCTTTCTTCTAGGATGGGGCATGTCCCCAGAGAAGAAGTTTCCAGTCTCCTGCCTGGAGAGGGTGAAAGCTTGGGCTCAGTATTCTAGAAGGATAAAGGGAAAGAAGTTGGACCTCAGCATCAAGCATGCATGTTTCCTGTTCTCTTGGTTTTAGCCCATATTCCTGCCTTTTCCTGTGTTTGGTGTTTTCAGTTTCAGATACTTCTGTTCCACCTAACAGAGAGTCAGTCCATCTTCCACCAGGGTAGGGAGGGCAGTGACCAAGTGTCCAAGAACTTGACTGCATCAAGAACTTGCTCAAAACTTGAGCTCCCTGGCCAAAACCAAGCCCAGGAACTAGATACTGGTTCACACGAGGTGCCTAGCTTTGTCTAGATTTCTTGTGACCATTTCCCAGAGCCCGTTGTCTTGCAACCAGCTTGAGTGAATGGTCAGAAGCTGCCTGGCCATATAGATCATCGAAGAAGGAGACTCCTCTAGAAGTTTTAGACTATGAAGCTCGGAGCTCTCTCTTTGACTCGGCATACTAAACCAGAGTCTTTGATGCTGAGATTTTGGTCTCCTCTTTGAGGTTCTTCCCTGGACATAATTCAGGCTAGTCCCAGTATTAAATATCGCCTGCCTTCACAGATGTCATACCATATAGCAGTGATGGAAAATGTTTCAGAACTTTCAATGATACAAACAGCCCACTGCAGCATACGTACCTGAGATTCAGCACCATTGCCATCTGGGGACTATATCTCTCCAATATAGTGGTTGTGAGGATTAAATAAATACATATATATAGCACTCACAAGAGTACCTGGAACATAGCACTGTATAAGCATTTGCAATTATCCCTGCCTCTCTGCTTCTCTTTACCAGCATTTGAACATGAACTGGATCCCTAGGTGGGTTGAATTGTCTGTTCTTTACGGGTGACTCTGCATCATATGAATCTTGGCCACTGTTTTAAGTTTGGGGTGCATATTAAGGAATGCATTCAGTACCTCCTCTTCTGTGGTATAGATTGCTGGAATATTATCTGCTTGGGGTCTAACATAGGTCTTTCTGCAGTTATCATTTATTTCTGCTTATTTCTAAGCCAATAGCTTTTGCTTGCAATTTGGGAATACAATGGAATTCACATCGACACATTATAAAGATGACAGTGTAGATGTAGTACTTAAAATATTCATCAGCTCTGTAAAAAGTGTATCATTTTGTAACCTGGTTGCTGATAGGCTTTCGTTGACCCCAGGGAGTTGTCTGGGAAGCAGGATGTCTCTGAGAGTCTTTCCGTCTGTCCCACGAATTCCAGGGCCCTTTTACCTCAGTTCCCTCACACCATCCCTCAGGATTGCTGTTCTTTGGTCCTGGCATGTCCAGGACTTCCTCACTGCCCTCCCCCAAGAGCCAGATGGCCACATCCTTCACTCACAGTTGAATTTGTCTGTGCCTGTGGGTTCTGCTCGCTCTCTGTGCCTGCACTGAACATTATTATTTTGGGGCTGCCATGCCTCTTCTCTCCTTCCTCCCTCAAAGGCTTGTCCCTGCAGCGGGAGATGCAGCCAGGTCCAATCCCTTGTGCGCTGGCAGAGATGCCTGGGCAGTGGTGTGGTCCCCACAATGACTCGCTGACTTTGGTCTGTGATTTCACCACATGGGGGTATTGTTGGGGGTGTTGCAGCCCTGGTTGTGGGGAAATCTGTCCTGCAGAGCTTACCTCCACAGCATGGGTCTTGTTTCATTGTATTAGTAATGTGATCCTGGGCTTCCCAAATTCATGCAATTTGTTTTCTGTCCTGGTGACCTGGGCCCTACAAAACCTCGCCTGCCCACTACCCATCATCTTTTCAGCCCCAACAAAAGAGGTCCTGAGCTTTCTCCTGGCATCTCAAGTATGTGTCAACTGATCCCTCAGCCATGAACTCACTGCTCGGGCTGCTCGGGCTGGCAATGGACCCTTCAGGGACCTTCCAGGTGGCTCCCTTTAAGCTATGCCCTGTATGGCCTGTTTCCCCTTTCTGGATTTAATCATTGTGTGAGCACACTTGGACAGCGTGTAACAACAGTCAAAGCTGATGGCGGAAGCATCCTCCAATCCCAGAGTACTTGATTTAAATGCTCATCCATGACCCTTTATGTTTTCATACTTTCTAAGAAGGAGCTTGTTGGAATCATAATCACCATCATGACTCCCTTCCTGTCCCCCTCTGCCCCCCTCCCTGCCCGCAGGTACACCCATTTGTACACAGAAGCGCTGGTTTAGAGAGACCTTCAATCACCTGTCTTCAGTTGCCAACTCCACTGAAGCTGTAGCTGCTGGGGTCCACCTGGTGTCTGGGTAAGAGAGAGCAGCTGAGGTGGTTTTAGAATTAAAAAGAATCTGGATGGATTATAGAGTTCAGCATAAAATATTTGTTGAATATATGCTCAAAATTAGATTGGGAGGATTTAGAAGGGACGTTTTAGAATTTACTCTAAGGAATCTGAAGACAAGTTCTAGCATTAGATTTTTAAACAATAAACGACCATATCAATTTCTCATTACAAATACTTTTTAGTGTTTCCTCGGGGAATGTGCAGTGATTTAAAAATACATGTACAGCAAAAAACTAAAATCCAGACTCAAACCAAAATGCCCCACCAAGCAGATAAATGCTGAGTTTGGGCCGTGTAGGGTGATGGAAGGCAGACAGGGATGACTCTGGAATGGGTGCAGACCTAGGAGAGACAGACAGCTTATTTGCTATTCCTGAAGAATGAGGCTTTCCAGAGAAATACCTTTTGTGGGTCACTAATTTATCTTTTAAATGACATTGCGGGGGAGTATTTTTGAAATGGTTAGCACACTTCTGTTTGATTTTTAAAGTGATTGTAGGAGACATACATAACTAAATAAAAGGGTTTGGTTTTGTTTCTCTCTGTCTTATTTATTGATTGATTGATGATTGATTGATTGAGACAGAGTCTCACTATATAGTTCCACCTGGTCTTGAATTCACTATGTAGCCCAGGCTGGCCTCAAACTCATGGTGATCTTCCCACAGCCTCCCGGGTGCTGGGGTTACAGGCATGCACCACCATGCCTGGCTTAAATGAAAGTTTGAAAATAAATCATTTTAGCTTTCTTAACACAAACTATCTCTTAAAATATGATGAGGTGTTCCCACATCTTTGATTTCATTTTAGTTTATTAGTACATGTGTGTGGTATACAATGCTTCTGTTCCTGGTGAGAAGTTACTGCATGGACATAACACATCTGAAAAATATTGCCCACTTCGTCTTTTGAGGAAGCTTCTCGCTGACACTGTCTGTTGTGGGTACGCATGCCTACTCTAAAGGGCGTCTATGCTTTCCCTTTTGCCTTCCCTCACTGTATAAAACTCAAAATTATATTGATGGCAGCAGTTTCCCAGAAGCCCCTACCCTACACAGTGGTTTTGTTTCTCTATCAAGCCAGGGATGGACACTCAATTTAAGATTCTTGCTATCGTAGAGCAGTCATGGTTGGATTTATTGACGGAAACAATCAATACTTACAAATCCAAATGCATGTGTAGCATCTGCTGGTCACATTGGTACAGGCTCCAGGTTAACAGCCATTACCACTGCAGGTGCATCCACGGCCAACACATTGTGAGCCAGCAGGGCTGCTGTGTACAACTCTTGGCTTTTTTCTACTCCTAGAGTCAGACTTGACGAGCTCAGTTTAACTCATGATTTGAACTCCTGCTTCCTGCATGTTGCGTGTGTAAGCAGGCCTGCAAATTATCCCTATGTAGAGGGATCCCTATTTGTTCAAAATTGAGGCCAGACTTTGATGTTTTGCTTGCAGCTTATGTAAGCCACTGTGAAAACAGAAAAATCTTCCCTCAAAAATACAGTCTAAAGAAAAGTATGTTATTGCTATTTATTTATTTAAGTGTTTGCAGGCTGGGAATTGAACCCAGGACCTGGAACATACTGAGATAATCATCAGGCTTGCATGTTATTTTAAAATGCCATATTCCTCCAATCGTAAACATTCAAAATTTAGCTTTTAAGTTATCTGAACTCAAGAGAATCAAAGAATAGATGCTGTTCTCTGTGTTTGGAAGAGGTACATTTTCAAATGACTCAGAAAATGTCAAATGAAGCTTACTAGAAATACATTATTTCACAAAGTTTTAGGAAAATTTCTACTCCCTGTGTTTGAGTTGGCAGATATTTCGAAGCATTCCTACAGAACAAGTGCCATTCTGGGCTGACGTGGTTCTGGGATTTCGAAAGATGACCGAGGCAGAGCTGAAGAAATTCCCCCAGTATGTGTTTGGTCATGCCTTTACCACCCTGAAGTGCGAAACCTCCATCTACCTGCCATGGTTGGAGAAAAGGTCAGTTAAAGTGGTTCTTTGCTGCTTCTTTGATCTGTCACAATTATAAAGAACTTCATAGCTATTTGTAAAACACTTACTGGAAATTCTCTGGGATCCCAAGGGCTCTTTGCATCGTGTCTTGCTGCTCATAATGGCTGGGCCCTGACTTTGTAAAATAAGCTGAAGATAATGTTTGTGTCACAAGGACTAAGTCCACATCAGGCACAGGGTGAAGTTGGAGAATTTGCTTCCAGCATAAAATGACGCAATTGACTTTAATTCTATAGATGAGAAAAGCTTATGTTACATAAATGACTTGATTTTTCTTATTGTTGGTAAAAAATAGCTTCATTATTTTCTTTCGTCATGAATAAGAACTCTAAGTTTGAGGTCATAAGCAAATATACAATTGCTTCTTTTCTAAGCTCAGTCCTTAACATCTGTAGTTTGCATTTTTTTTTTTTTTTTTGGTCTTTTCTTTTCTTTTTTTTTTTTTTTTAATCGGTACCAGGGGTCAAACTCACAACCACACACTTGCAAGGCAGGCGCTTATGCCGCTGAGCTAAATCCCCATCCCACGTAGCTTGCATTTTGGCTTGGTTTTCAGGCCTTCCTGTTTCTAGCGAGGAAGCATATTAGTATTTTTTTCTGAGGCCTATCAACAACTCTCTCCCTTATTTAGTCTGGACATTACAGGCAGGTTGAAGGTTGTGAAATATAGGCCATTCTACCCGCAAATCTGTGCTCAGGTCAAATATCCCTTATGTGAAATGCTTGGGATCAGAAGTGCTTTGAATTTGTATTTCCTCGGGTGGAGGAATATTCACATATTCAGAATGAAACCAGTGTCCAACCATATGGCCAGGGGGGTGAAAGAAGGGGCGTCCGCCCCTGTTCTCCTGTGAGAAGCCTGGCAGGTCAGAGAGGCAGCCCGGGACAAGCCCTCTAGGGCAAGGATTCCAAACTCGAGGGGGGAAGGCCAATGTGCTGGGGAGGAGGTGGGACGGCGGTTCACACTGTGTCCTGCCACCCACACACCTCCCCCCGGCAGACCCAGATGGGCAGCTGCACAATCCCTGCCTGTTCCCCACACGCAGGATCTGTTTTGTTGCCTCCTACGCCTCTTACACACAATGCAAGTGTTCCGCCTTCAGTGTTCTGACTCAAAAATCAATGTTTCACTCAGCAAGCCACACAGCAGCGGCTGCAGCCGCAGCGCTCTCCCTCCAAGCTGACACCAACTGCCAGGAAAAATCTTTTATCAAAACTTAGTTCTTTAGCATTTAAACTAAATACTACAGAGCAGAAAGTCTTCTCAAACAATGCTCAGTAATACCCAGAACAAAACAACAAACAAAAAACCTCCAGAGTTTTGCTCTCACGTGCAGGTCATATTTTGTACCTTCAGATGGCACATTCTGCTGCCTTGTTACTGTCCCTTCTAGGAAATGAATCACAGAGGCCACCCGTCTCCCATCAGGCAGTCTACCTTAATAAATGCTCCTGGAGCCACCAGATGCCTTTGATGCCATTCAGAAAGCTGCATGGCTTTTCTGTGCTGGGGTCTGCAGCTCAGGCCCACTGATGATTTTCACCAGCCCTCATTCTGTGGTCCTGAGGAGCCCCATGCTGACCACAGGGACACCAGGCCAAGCTCTCCCCATTCCTCCTTGCCCACTCCCTGATGAAGCCTCTCCGTGACTTTTTCTGTCTCCCACATTTTTCTTTTTGTACATCAGCCGTAGAACAGGCTGTCCCAGCTTGACACAGCCATCTTGCAAAGGTCTCTTCCTGTGTGGCGCAGACCCCTGTTCTTCCTGCCCAACACACAGCAGGCCTGGTGAAGCACACCCTCCATCCCCAGGGCCTAGGATCACCACTGCCCTTCTCACAGATCCCAGCCAGAAGGGCAGGAGGCAAAGGGCCCCAGACACAGGGTGGAATAGAAGCTCTCCCTTTTTAACCTTTCTAGGCAAGAATGAAGTGGACGTGGAAAATGGCTGTGCTTTTTCTGATGATGGTTGGTGATGGTTGATGATGGCATAGGTGTGGCAGCCATGTAGGGTACAGTAACCATGCAGGATTCCACAATGGATGCCCTGAGGGTTTCTTGCCCTTGACGCCACTTGCTTGATGGACTGAGGGTGCATGGCTGCCCCCTCCAGGACCAGCCTGCTTGTGCAGTCCCTGACCTCATGTATACTCCCACTTCCTGTAAGGGACAGGAGGCTGCTCCATGCTGGAACAGAGCTAGGGACGAGCTTATGGGATAGACAAAGCCTGAGTAGATACTTGGAGAACTGTGAAATAAAATATGATTGGCTATTATTATTATTATTATTGTAGTAGTGATTGGCCTCAAGAGCTCACGTATGCTAACCAAGTGCTCTGTTATAGAGCTGTACACCATCATTCCTTTTATAAAATTTTTTTTTTTTGGAGATTGGGCCTTGTCAAGTTTTGTAGGATGGCCTCAAACTTGTAAACCTCCTGCCTCAGCCTCCCTAGTAACCAAGATTACAGGTGTATACCACCATGCCAAGTAAATGAAGATAAGTGAGGACTGGAATTGTCAGATGAGATAACATTTTCAGGATAAAACTAGACTCTATTCATTTAATTGCCTTGTAAACCTAAAATACATTTTTGAATTCTATGATAAGTTATTTGGGATAGCACCATAAAGTGTCACCATGAAGAAACAGTGGGTTATCCCCCATAAATCTGTGTACGTAAGTAATACTGCTTGCTGAGATTTAGTTTTCTTTCTTGTTTTTAGACAAACATACTAACCGTAATTAATTTTCAGATCACCATTCATAAGGCATCATTCTTCAGATTGAAAGCAAGGAGTGATTTTAAAACTTGACTGTGCTTCCATAATACACTGCGCACCTGCTCTGAAGTCTTTCCACAGGGCATCTGAGTGCCCGTCCCACCTTTGCCAAACTGTCTTCATACAGTGACTCAAAGGCTTGCTCTGTTTGCCTCATTCCAGCTAACTGTAGGATCATGGTCCCACCTCGGGCTCAGAATTGAGCTGGCGCCACACGACAGTGGGGGAGAGGGTCCCCCCCACACACACACTTCCAAATCCTTGGCTCCCAGGTGGCCCTGGTAGGGCTCAAGCTTCTCAGTGCTCTCAGTGCCCCAAGCCTCAAGGTCATGCACCTGACAGGGGACGCCAAGGGGACCTGGGCCCCCAGTGGGTGGGCAGACAGCTCCTTCCTCCTGGCAGGGTTACAGAGCTGCATCCAAAGCACCTGGTCTGGAGAGGCTGCTCACACATGAGAGGACTTCTCACCCAGTGTGGGCCAGGGTTCCCAAGAAGGAGTTTTCACTGTCTTTGTGTAAGCCAGAGGCCTCTCTGGATCATATTGTCCACTCAGGTCTACTCTGTCTCAAGGCAATATTAAAACATCTAGCTTTTCTCAAAGTACAAACCACTCAGAAATTTTAAGTGATCAGAGAAGACACTGTTTTCAGTTTTTGAGTTTCTGAGGCAATTAGAGTTTGCTTCAGCAGTTGGGTGCCGGACCCACAGGCTGCAGGCTCTGTGCTGGCGCTGTGGGTTTAGCTGTGCTGTGGCTGTGCTCCTTCCTGCCCTGCCCTTGGCTCTGCTCAGAGGCTTGAAGGGCCCTTCTCGCTCCTGCTGTGCTCATCGCCCCAGGGTCACCTGGACAGCCTGGCCGCACGCGGAGTCCCCACCTCCTTTAAGTGCTGCGGACTTCTTTGTCGCCAGAAATGAGCAAGGGAGAGGTGGGAATCTCCTTTGATCCCAAGAACACAGAGAGCCTGGACGTGGGAAGTGGAAATAGCACGCGCGCGCGCGCGTGTGTGTGTGTGTGTGGATGTGTGTGGGTGTGCACAGGCACTCACACGTGTGTATGTGAAATATGTACCAGAACCGTATCCTTCTCTGCGCACAGCCAGCTCAGTCTTCCTCTTGCTGCAACTTCCAGTGAGTTGAAGGAGGGGCCCCGAGGACCACCATCTGCCACGTTTATGATCAGGTTGGTGCAGTCTGGCTGGCGACCGGCTGTCACGCTTGGCAGAATGGGCACTTTCACATTCTAGAGTAAGGATCAGAAAGTGTGGGGCCAGGGCTACTTAGTGAGCAGAGGTCCTCTTTCCTCACGGGAAGTTGGAGTGATGGCATTCTTTCCTTCCAGGGTGAAATCTTGGGCATTTTCAAGAAGCCTCAAAAAGACAGTCATTAAGCTTCTTACACCTTGACCCATGTCACCCAAAACTTCTAGAAGAGCTGCCACCTTATAGTTGCAGTAGCAGCCTTTCAGTTTGTCATCTAAATTGACATCAAAGCCTAAATACAATTTTCTACACCCTGGAGCCATCGTGACGTGGTGCCAGTGGTGTGTGATGACAGGGTGTCACCCTGAAGTCACACGATGACAAAGCAAAGGTGGCTGACCCTGGGAACCTTCACTAAGTTCTTCCTGGGGTACAAGGCTCAGAAGGACCTTGGCAGGGCCTTCCCTCTGCCCATCCACAATGATCACTGCAGTAGTCTCCAGTTACAGGCTGGACTCCGATCAGTAGCTTCAGCAGAGGGCCATTGAAATGGAAAGGAAAGACACTTGCATTTATTGAACACTTATGTAATCAGCCTAACAGCCATGGGAGCTAGGGCCTCTTATCCCCGGGTTATACTTAAGGAGACAAGTCCAGCAAATTTATGAAATGTGCTTAAGTCTCTAAGGCTGCTAAGTTCTCTGAATTAGAAAAATAATCCTGAGATCTAATTATAATGGAGCACAGAACATAATGTTCAAATATTCACAAATGGAACCCACAATTTATTAAAAGAAAAGCAAAACCAAGATCTTGTTCAAATAATGATCAGTCAAAACCTTTTAAAATCTAAGCATCATACTTCATTAAACCTAAATCATATCCAGATGCGGAGGTTAGGCTTACCCTCAGATGGTACAGGGGATCTCATATTCCACAACAGTACAGGACACTCCAATCCACTTTATTTTTCCTATAAAAATCTTTAACGAACAACTGCAGTGTATTATATATTGTGTCAGAACTTCTCCAGATGCTGTCTCATGTCATTTTCATGATGACCCGAGGCAACGGCAAACAGAAACACCAAAATGAGACCCAGGAGTTGAAGCAGATTTATTTACGTCAACAGACACTGGTCAGGCTCATTCCTAAAGTATCAGATCCTGATCTCGGTGGTCTAGAGCTTCTATGGGGTAAGCAGGCAGGAAGTACAGAGGCAGAATGGCTGGTCAACGGGTATTGGTTTATACAACGTGCATCATAGTGACCAGATATGCATCACAGTGACCGGCTGTTTCTAAGAGACAGAAGCGACCAGAACTGATAACCTGGACTAAGAAACTGAAGTGTACTGGCTTGGTGCGGGAGGGGAGCCACTGTCTGTTGCATCTATAAAGCCAGTATGAATCTCCTCACATTACAGGCAAAGGACTAAAGCTTAGAGAAGTTGGAGAATTTGGCAAGGTCACATGTAGATTAAAAGAGAGCAGTTCCCTAAACCCTACCTAAAAGTCTTTTACTTTTTTTATTTCTTTGGTATTTATGTTGTTACAGGTTAGAATCATATTGCAATCTGTTGGTCACCACAAAATAACAGTTTCCTCTTCTTTTTCCTCCTCCTCGACCTCCTGTTCTTTTTCTTCTTTGGGTGGTTTTGAGATGGGGTCACACTGTGGAGACTGTCCCAGGCTGTCCTGGAGCTCACCAGCCTTTTGCCTTGGCATCACGGGGGTGTGTCACCACACCCAGCTCCAGTTTACTCTTCTTTCCGTGCTAATATTAAGACAATCAAAGCAAAACAACTCTTAGAGTTATTTTACCTTTAAAGGGGCTCAGATTTATTATTGTACAGCTAAAAAAAAAAAAAAACAATCTAAGCTGTCAACTGTTTTTTTCCACTGCGAGAGCCGAAAACGTGTGCTCATAAAATGTGCTTTTATCTCTGAGCTGAAGAGAGAGATAGAGAGAAAGAGAGAGAGAGAGAGAGAGAGAGAGAGAGAGAGAGAAGCAAACAAAAGAGGAGCCCCAGCCTACTCACTCTCTCTTTTAACCACCGTTAATTACATGAAAGCCTTCCTTGGTTCTCTGTGGCCTTAAAGTTTTGCCATTTGCTTTGATTTTCTCATCTCTGGTAAATTCACACTGTCTTCCATGGATTTTCAGAATAACAGCAAGGATGTGTAGGGTAACAGGCCTGTGCCTAGAACTTTAGTTCTGTTATTTGGGGGCACTGACCCTTGAAGCAGCCATTTGTGCTGCGTAACTACACAGTAGTCTCGGGGCACTGTGGAGCGAGATGCCCAGAACATTTCCAGGAAGAGCCTCTGCAAATCTTTGTTGAATGAATACAGAAATTTAACCCAGAGGATTCAAGCCGATCTTCACACTGCTTATAGTGGAGATGCTTCAGAGTTTCTGCGGAGGACAGGAGTGTGGTCAGCAGCTCAACTTGAGTCAGCTGCAGAGAAATTAGAACTCAATGATAAATCTGCTAATTTAGCCAGGCATGGAGGCACAGGCCTATGATCCCAGCACACTGGGAGGCTGATGCAGGAGGATCTCAAGTTCAAGCCCAGCCTAGGAAACTTAACAAGGTCTTGTTTCAAAAGAAAACATTTTAAAAGGACTGGAGATATAGCTCAGTGCAAGGGACCTGGTATTGAATCCTCACCACCAGAAACAAACACAACACACACACATCTGTTTTACAGATCAGAAATTGATCTGTGGGTGTTCAAGTTTGCCTGTGATGCAGTGAAGCTGCTCACTCTCCTTGACCTATGGAATTTTCTAGAAAGGGAGCCAGTATCAGGAAGTCAGTTCTCTATAGATTTTACTTGGTACAAATACCAGTTGTGCTTTCTGACTGGGAGGTGGAGGTAGAGCATTAGAATAACTTGAGAGTTCTTTCTCTCTAGGTTAAAATCAGCCACCAAACCAGGCCATCATTTACCACTTTCTCAGGATTTATGAGTATGATTATTAGATTAAAGGTGAAGATGACACAGTTATTGGTGGTTATTGTTTCATAACTACTGTGTTTTCACTCTGCATGCTGAAAAATATTCTGCAGGTGAATAGTGATGATAGTTAAACAAAAAATGGTAAAATGGTAGGTTTTATGTTATATGTATTTACCACAATTTAAAAATGAGTATAAGATCTAAACTGCTTTTTCATTCATTACTGATATACTTGGTCCAAAATAATTACTGGACGTGACCGTCATTTAGCCCATCAGTTGCAAACTTTTGTGTTCCTCTTGTGTTAATGGTCCCATGAAGGGAGAGGAGGGACGCCTCTATCATCATCTAATTAAGGAAGGCAGACTCTAAACAAAAGAAACTGCAAGAGTCACCAGCATAACAAAATGTCCACAGCAGTAAACGTTGGTGTTAAACAAATAGTAGAAAAAAGCAATTCTTGGGCACTTACAGTACCAGATCAACTTCACATTGATTTCCCATCTAGAATGACATAAGAACTCTATAAAATGTTTTTTAAAAAGTGGGGGGCGGGGATTGGGGGAGCATACAGTTTCCTGTGTTTTGGGTTTTACCATTTGGGGTCACCTTTCAGAATCTTTGGTTTCCAAGAATGTGAGGCAGCTGTTGGATGGAATTTGATCTGCCCGGGTGCTGGAAGTTCTTGGGGTGTTTGCTCACCACCTCGTCCTTTCATTTTTGTTCCTGTGCTCCTGCCCTTCACTGCCTGGCAATAGTTGGGTAGGTGGCTACTACGTCTCACCCTGCTCTCCTCCCCAGGCTGAAGGACCGTGGAGTCCTGTTCCTCCGCAGGCGAGTAGAAGACCTCTGGGAGCTCCAGCCGTCCTTCGACATCGTGGTCAATTGTTCAGGCCTGGGAAGCCGAGAGCTTGTGGGAGACTCAACAGTTTTCCCCCTGAGGGGCCAAGTTCTCCAAGTGCAGGCCCCCTGGCTGAAGCATTTTATCCGGGATGGGAGTGGGCTGACGTATGTTTACCCTGGTGTGTCCCATGTCACCTTGGGTGGAACCAGGCAAAAAGGAGACTGGAACCTGTCCCCAGATGCAGAAGTTAGCCGGGATATTTTTTCCAGATGTTGCACTCTGGAGCCCTCCCTGCACAGGGCCTGCAGCATAAAGGAGAGGGTAGGCTTGAGGCCGGACAGACCAAGCATGCTGCTGCAGAAAGAGGTCCTGGTCAGAGATGGACAGAGACTGTGTGTGGTCCACCACTATGGCCATGGGAGTGGGGGGGTCTCAGTGCACTGGGGCTGTGCTCTGGAGGCTGCCAAGCTGGTGAGCGAGTTCACCCAAGCCCTCAGGACCCCAGCTCTAACGTCAAAGCTATAAATGACATGAAAGAACCACTAACAGCCCCAGACACGATTGATCAAAGCACAATTTAAACTGCAGAACGGGTTCAAATAATTTCTCTATTGCATGCAAATTTAATTAGGTATTCTTTATTTTTGAAATGAGAAATGATACATGCATGTATCAGCAGGTTTAGGAAGTCTAGTATTAACCGCATAGGGCACGAAGCTGTGTTGCTGTTAAAAATGCTGGTGATCTAGAATAAGATTTGTTTTAAATCTTGTGTCTGAGGGCCTATGCTGATTTACATGAATACTGAAAGCTATAAGCCTTTGATACTTTTTGGCTTATAAATTCATGAAAGGAGATAACGTGTGGCAAGCACTTAATCACTGTCAGTTGCAGAGTTTCGAATGATCCTCTTAGGTTATAGCCAGATGAGCATCTTAATCCTAAAAAAAGTCAGTGATGCTCATGCAGTGCAAACCTAGCACACTTAATTGAAGACAAAGCAAGATTACTGCTATTATTAGTGGAATGGTTTTCTTCCCACAGCCAGTAATGATGGTTGAAGACAGAAACGAAGTTGTCCATGCACGTGGCACCAATTCAGTGCCTGCTTGGGGGCCATCCACACAGGGTTTTATATTTCACTACAAGTGATTGACAGCTAACTCGCTATGGCTGACTTTGTCTAAGCACTTTTGAAGATTGAATAGTACGAGAGGAGCCAAAAAGCTAATTTTCTGATTGGAATAGAACAATCCTTCTGAATGATATATAACAAAAAGTACTCTGCAGGTTGTTAGACAATTTAGGCAGGAAGGCAATGTCTCCTAAGAAAGCAAGTCTGGGAACTGCAGGATTAAATGAACTGAACCTGGCTTCTTGACTCAGGTTTTCACAGAGCCATTAACATGTCTCTGCATCGTGAGCTCTCAGGATGGCTTTGGCTGGGTAGATGACAAAGGAGATGCTATTCACCGAGGTAATAAAGCTTGGGAAGAAGTGAGTTTAATTTAATTTGGGGGAGATGACATGTTTGGTGGTAATAAATTCTGTTTTGAATATCCTGGAGAAGATATAAAAACCGGCAGTAAAAATGTAAGAAAGAAAAAGCTCCCAGCACATCTCTGTTTCTATTATTTTGTTTTTTGAGCTTTTGCTGCGATTTTATTCGAAGAGAACATTCTGCCGGGGGCGCGGAAGCCTTATGTTACATGACCTATTAAAATTCTCAAGTTAAATCAAGCACAGGAGTCTTTCTATATCTGTCCACCAGAGGGTGGTATTGTACCAACTCAGGTTAAACTGGTACTTTGGACAATTTAGATTAGAAATAAAAAATAAACACTAAGCGTGTGGGGAGTGATTTTCTTGAGGTTTTTAGAGTTGTATAGTCAAAATTCAATTCTTCTTAAAGCATGTGAGAACTGATGTCAACATACATTGAAAACACATGAAGTGACATACTGGGAGACAGGTATGTATTTTAAAGGAGGAGACAAATGTTTTAATGCATAAAAATAAAAACGAGAGCTGCTGCTCAGACTCGTTTCTGTCTCAGATCGGCACAGCAGTTCGATCGCAGCATCTGTCCTCGCACTGTGGTTTGGACCCCGCAGCACCGCGTGGGGTGCAGGCTGGCACACACCATGGCTTCTGCTGATCGCTGCTTTGGTTCAGCTTCATTCTGCATTTTAGACTTCTACCGTGCAGTGTCATAAGACTGAAATATCGAGAACTTGGTGGCTGGCGCCCCAGTTTTATTCCCACTGATTGCTGAACATCTGCTCCCGTGTTTTGGTTATTAACTGCCAATGTGGGCAACACCCCAGAATCACCTAGGAAATTTGAAGGGCTCCTGACCTTCAGTCCTTTACTAAGTCAATCTTTGGACTAGGAGGGAGGGGCAGCTGGATTTGTTCAAAGCTGCCCGAGGACTCTGATAGCTGGCCTGATCATCGCAGAGCAATTTCTCTCCTCTCCTGGACCTCCACCGCTACGCTAACCACTACACTTTCCGGTCACCTCCTTGGTGCACTGAGAGGAGGATGTGCTGACTCCAGCAATGTATCTTTAGGCACTCTGGGAAAGGTAGCCTGGAGGAATTAGCTGCCCCCAAAGTGGTTCTCCAGAAACCGTGGGAGTCATCTTACTGGCCATCAGTCAGCTGCCCAGAGATGGCTGTCTGTCTGAAAATGAGGGATCGAATGTGCTTATGGACAAAGACCAGACCACTTATAAAGACAGAGCTCTGGCCCACCACCTGCAGCATCTGCCCAGAAAACCAGTCCCCTGACTATATAAACAGTGCAGGAAGCCAGCCTGCTGTGCTCCAGACACGCAGGAAGTTGGATTGCTATCTCTAGCAACAATCCAGAAAGCTAAACAATTGGCACAAAATAGCCAGGATGTAATTAATATCCGATAGCATACCTAAGTGCTCCCCCCACCCTGCCCGGCCCTCTAAAGCACTAACTACAGAAAGCAGAGCGCACACTGCTAACCAGGATGCCCTCTTTCTAGTTAACCTCCTATTGGTTCCTGTGCCAAAACTCTCCAATTTTCCTCTTTCTGCCTTAAAGCTGTCCCTGCCTTGGAGTCTCTGCTGAATGCAAGTCATTGTGGTGAACTTCCCTGCTACATCAAGCTTTAAAGAAACGGGCTTGGCTTTTCTTATCTGCCTGGTTGATTAGTCTTTGAAGACTTGGCTGGCTTTATGGAGGCTGAGAAGTGACGCCATCTGGTGTCTGCAAAGTGAGACCCAGGAGAGCTGGTGGGGTGGTCCCAGCCTGAAGCCCAAGAATGGGTGAGCCCAGGGAGTAAGCGGAAAGTGCAAAGGCCCTGAGCACCCATCTCCCAGGGGAGGAGAAGATTGATTTCCAGCTCAGACACAGAGCAGACCCATCCTCCTCCACCGTTTTGCTTCCTTCAGGCACTCACAGATAGGCTGGTGCCACTCCCACAGGCAAGAGCAGCCTTCTCTGCTCAGCCCCGCTGACTCAGATGCTTCTCCTCCCAATCTATCTGTGCAGACACACCCAGGCAATTTGACACAGGACATTAGCCACCACAGGGGGTCTGCTTTAATTTCCATATACATTCTTCCTTAATTTCCATAGAGATTGTATGCTTACAGAAGTCAAAGTCTTGTTACTGCTTGGGAATGTACTGCTGGGTTACTGCTTTCTTGTATTTTTTCAGAACATTTGTTTCTTTAGCTGATTTTCCTCTTCAGTTGCTATTTTCAGTGTGTGGCTTTTCTGTTATGTGTGTGCCTGCCGTGCGTGTGACCATGGGGAGCAAGCGCATTGGCAAACAGCGCTTCTTCTGCACACAAAACCAGGTCCACACTTTTGAGGTTTTACTGCTTGGGAAGTAAAAAAAGTTTACTTCCATAATGTGATTGGCCGTGGTTGTGTAGAAAAAAAGTAGGTTAGAAAATGACACATATTCTTCCTTTTATGGACCAGTGGTTCTCAAATCAAATGATATTTGAGCTAATTTTTCTCCATCAAGGAAAAGCTGTAGAGAGAAGGGAGGAAAGGATGGTGGAACCGGTGCCTGCTGGGAGTTGTAGTTTTTGAAAACCTGTTTCAAGACTCCAAACTTGTGTAATACTTGAAATGGATTACAGTAGTCTTTTTTTTCCTTTGATTCCTCTCATCTTTATTCCTGAGGGTGTGAAGGATGAAGACACATTTGAAACCCATTTCCTCAGGACATCATTCACTTGAGAAAAGCTGATTGAGATGTTTAAATGGTGCCTTTCTTCTTGAAAAATCTCAGCAGTTTGCCAGCAGGCCTGGGGGCTTTATTATCCTAACTGAATTTGCTGCCTATAAATCATAGCCCTAAGTAGCCCAAGGGAATGAGTTAACCAGATCCCTCAGAAATATAACTAATATTTCTTCAATTATTAGCAGAATAATTGACTTCTATCTGCTTATGGAACCTGTCAACTTGGCCTACGGCCCACCTCCCAGAACTTTTTGACTGGGAATTATAATTTTTATGTTGGCATATGTTGTATGGTGTCAGCCCAACCTCAATCTTTCCATGAATACTAGCCTTTCCTTTCCATCCAGACCAGCTGATCTAGCAATGGAACACAACTACTGTGGTGGATATGCCCAGTGGTCTCCTTGCTCTGCCCAGGACCCTTTTCCTGGGAAACATTTAACTGGTCATCCTTGGTCATCAGCGACCCAGGCGGCTTCCAGCTCATACTCTATGTTATGTCAGGAGTGGAGCCATTGTGCTCATGGTCCAAGATGGCTATAAGAGCACCAGCCATTACTTCATATTCCCTCCACCCCAAGAAAGGGGCCCAGAAGAGTCCCATAACAGTGTTGCTTATGTATCATTGCATAGGATTTAGCTTCAGTGTTATACCAAGAGGCTGAGGCAGCTAAAAGAATGTGTCTTTTGGCTTGGTGACAATATAAAGGTTAAGCTTTTTAGCTCCACTAAAAGTATCAAGCTATAAATTGAGTTGAACTGGTCCAATGAAGAATTTGTAGTAACGGATTCTCTAATCTCTTAAACCCTAACTATTATCCTGGTGATCAGGCTCTGGAGACATCCCCACTATAATGCTGACAGTCCAGAGAACTTACACAGAGGAAGCCAGGTAAGAGAGGGGAGGAAACAGAGATCAAGTCCTAGCAAGGGAACCCGTACTTCTGGGAAATCATGGGGAATGAATGACCTGAGGTCCTGATGCAGTCGGAATTCTCCTGCACTTTGACTACACAGTCACTTCTGCATTCCTCAGAAATTGTGCATTTGGAAAAAGTATATTGGTTCAACGATGAGAAGGGAATATGAAGTGGAGAATTTCATATTTCTAAGACAAAATAAAAAAAGCTTTTCTTGTGCCGCAGCCAGCGCGGGGAAGGAGTCAGGCAAGAGACTGAAGACGCAGGGAGACCGATTGCTCAGGAAGCAAAAGGCAATTTATTAGAGGACTCCAGAGTTTTTATAGTGTTTCAAAACAAAGAGCAGTACAAGTCACTTCAGGACACTTTCTTGTGCATACAGCAAAGGTAAACATGTTCCTGGGCCCATGAGAAACTTCTTTGTTTATGTTATGAAGCTATTCCCAGGTTAATATCAGTGCGATGCTTTGTCTAGAAGGCTGAGGTTACTGCAGGATGAGGAACTGGTTGAGGTCCAGCTTCAGTGTGTGGTTTTCCACACCCGTTCACTGCTGGACTCCTGGTTCCTGCTCCCAACATATCCCCCTTTTTTCTCAGACAAAGCGTCGCATGGGAATTTCACTAGCAGTTGATTCTAACTTAAAACGTTTCAAGTCCTGACGCACATTTCTCATTTGCCCAACAACAACTCTCACAAGATATGGAAAAATCGTTATCATGGCGATAAATGCTAGAGTTCCAATCACATAGATCTTTGTAACATATAGTATAATTATGATGGCACAAACGCCATGAGGGTCCATATGCACTTTTGCTTGGGTATTTTTGTCTACATTCTGGAATATGCTCAGGGGGATTGCCTTTTCCCACTCTAGTGTCACTACTGTTGCGAAATACATACATCATATCTACTCCCCAGTGCGTTCCATTAGTAAAGTTTCCATCCCAATCAGAGTATCTTTCTATTAATGTACAATTCTTATTTGTTTTAGAAAAACATAGGGGGTAATGAAGCAGACATTCCAGCGTAATTATATACAATAGAGATAGGTTGTATATGAGCGGAAGAAGGAAAACTTAAGACCCGAGTATTATTTACATAAACGGTAACATCATCATTGTCGCCCTATGACATAGGGTGCAACAAAGGAGGATTAGGTACAAATGCCCCATAATTATCCACCCACACAGGCGTTTGAAATGCATGCAAAACCCAAATAATGCTTAGCAATTGAGCCAAAAACAGAAGGGTTTCATCTCTTGTTGCAGGAGGCCTGCTGGTCGTTGTTCTGGTCCTCGAGGTCATGGTTAGTCGAAGCATCTTCCTGCCCAGTTTTTCTATCTTGCTCTTGGGCATGTCGTACACAATGTTCTGGGATCCACCTGGGTGTATCAGCATCTGTGGGAAAAACACAAACATACCCTCTTCCCCATATCAAATACTGGGTCAGGGCCATGTAACAGATTAGTTAATGGGTCTTTGCAATAAACCATTGGCTTGGAGGGCAAATCAGGAGACCAATGTCTCTCAGCTGCAGATCTATTGGAAGCATTGAAAGTTAAAAAATTAAGAATGTAAAGAGCATGGTTAAGAAGGGTTTTGGAAGAATACTTATACCATCTCCCCCTTTTTAATTTCTTTAACGTGTTTTTTAGTGAGAGATTAGCACGTTCAACAATTCCCTGTCCTTGAGGGTTATAAGGTAATCCAGTAACATGTTTAATATGGAAAGTCTGACAGAATTTGGCAAAGGGTTTACTAACATATGCTGGGCCATTATCAGTTTTAATGGATCGAGGAATGCCCAGGATAGAGAAACAATATAGTAGGTGTTGTATTACATGGGTGGCAGTTTCTCCAGTCATAGGTGAGACAAGCATGTAATGAGAAAAGGTGTCTACGGTAACGTGTAGGTATTTTAATGACCCAAAAAAAGGATAATGAGTGACATCCATCTGCCAGATGTCGTTTGGACAGAGTCCTGGAGGGTTGACTCCAAAATGAGGTACTGGAAGGAGAGGCGCACACGAGGGACAATTTTTAACAATTTCTCGTGCTTGCTACCGTGTTATACCATATTGATAACGTAAAACCTGTGCAGCTTGGTGATGAAGAGCATGTGACTATTGTGCTTGCGAAACAGCAGACAGTCCAATATGCGTGGCTCGATCTACGATTGTATTTCCATGAGTCAAAGCACCTGGAAGATTAGAGTGACTGCGAATATGTCCTGCAAAACAAGGTGCAGATTGAGAATGTAAAGATGATTGAATGAGACCAAATAACTGTGCAACAAGGATATGAGCGGTGTTGATAATAGGTACACATTCTAAAACAGACAAGGCTTGTACTACATATTGGCTGTCTGAGAACAAATTAAAGGGAATATCAAAGAAAAGAATAAAAGCCTAATGAACAGCATAAAGTTCAGTCTCCTGAGCTGAAGTACTCCTCAATTGCCATACATAAGTTTGATTTGGGGATACTAAAGTAGCTTTTACATTGGAGCTTCCATCTGAAAATAAAGTAATAGCATTAACAAGGGGTTTCGTGTGTTTGATTTGAGGAAATGAAAAGGTAACTTTAGAGGCAAATTGAAGAATTTTATCCTTGGGATAATGATGTTGGATTTGACCGGTATAGGACGCTAGAGATAGAGGAAAATAATCAGTCATATTAAGCAACCATTCGAGCTGCTCAGATGTATAAGGGATTATAATAGAGTGAGGGTCTCTTCCCAAATGCATTATAGACCGTTTTCTTCCTCGCATAATCCTTTCTGTGGCCAAAGAGGCGTAAGGGGGGAGAGCCCTTTTCGGGGAATGCAAACCATGGATCCATGAGAGAACTCCCTGTTGATATAATTCACCTGTAGGAGAAAAGGATGTGGGTATGATGATAAGGGACCAGGGATTGGAATAATCACAATAGTGAAGCTGCGCACTTTGAAGAGCCTTATTAACCAGTTCATGAGCTTTGCGAGCTTCTGCTTCATTTGGCAGGGTGAACTTGGGTCAGAATCTCCAGCTAATGAGGAAAACAATGGGTGGAGGTCTTGAGTAAGTTAACTTTAGAGATGGCTGGATCCAATTAATTTTACCCAAGAGTTTTTGAAAATCATGTAGCATACGCAAGTGAGAAGTATTAACAGACAATCGTTGAGGAGAAAAATGCCGTGGATATAAGTGAAAACCTAGATAAGAATAAGGAGGTGAAATTTGGACCTTCTCAGGTGCAATGACCAGCCCATTATTTGTTAAATCCTGGTAAAGAGAGGCATACACTTACAAGAGCATCTCAGACTCTTGATGGGCTATTAAAATATCATCCATATAATGAATAATGGTGGCAGAGGCAAATTTGGATCTGGTATTGGCAATGCTGCATGTACAAACTTTTGGCACAGGGTAGGGCTATTAGCCATACCTTGAGGTAATACCATCCACTCATATCTTTTCATAGGTGAGGACAAATTACAGGAAGGAATACTAAAAGAAAATCTCTTGCAATCCTCGGGATTGAGAGGGATAGTATAAAAACAATCTTTCAAATCAAGAACAATACGATGATGTGACATCGTATTGCTATAGGTGACGGAAGTCCAGGCTGAAGAGCCCCCATAGGAAACATAGTATCATTCACTTTTCTAAGGTCTTGTAATAATCTCCATTTTCCTGATTTCTTTTTTATCACAAATATAGGCGAATTCCAGGGGGAGGAGGAAGGTCGAACATGACCACAGACTAACTGCTCCTGCACTAATTGCCTGGTGGCTTGGAGCTTAGCCTCAGGCATGGGCCACTGATCTACCCATACCGGTGTATCAGATTTCCAATTAATTTTATCAGCATGGATAGCAGGATGATCAGCGGCCACTAAGAAAAACCCAACCCCTGTTTATCAACGTTTTGTGGGATGGATAAAGGGTCTTTGATATCTTGATTATTTTTTCCCATGCCTGCAAATGGTAATTGGCCCATTTGCAACATCTGTTTGGTGACAGTGGGACTTGGACTCCACAAGTACATTCCCATCTGGCTTAATATGTCTCGTCCCCACAAATTTAGGGGAAGATTAGGTAAAACATATGGCTGGAATTCTCTAGTATGTCCCTCCAAATCAGTCCAGGATAATATAGAAGAGGATTTAAAAGGAGCAGGGGCTTGCCCAATTCCTTGGAGAATGGCAGGGGCAGGATCCAATGGCCAGGATGAAGGCCAATCTTGTTGTTTTATAACAGAAACATCAGCCCCTGTATCCATTATTCCAAGAAAGGTTTTTCCCTGTATTTTTAGTAAGCACTCTGGTCTTTCATCTTGTATTTGTCGAATAAGAAAAGCATCAGAGGAGCCAAATCCTTGGGTGCCTCGTTTTTTCCTAAGCATATTTTGTTTTCCTTGAATAAGGGGCAATAATAATAACTGTGCTATACGGGTACCTGGGGGTATATTGATGACTACTGTATCAGTTTTAGCCATAACTTTAATTTCTCCCTCATAATCTTGATCTATCACTCCAGGAAGTACTATAAGTTCTTTTAAAGTAAATCCACTTCTTCCTAATAATAGTCCCCAATTGTTTGGAGGTAACGGGCTGTAAATACCAGTAGGTATCAATTGGACTCCTAGCTCTGGGGTTAATATGATGTGGGTGGAGGAACTGAGGTCCAATCCTGCGCTTCCTGGAGTTGCTCTGGAGAGGTCTGAAATGGATTGTTTCTGGGTTGAATTGCCCCGAAGATTTGTTGTCGGGCCTGGGGTTGGCCCCTCTTGAAGTTTTTTTGCTGGGGGGATAGTAGATTGCCCTCTCTGTCTCTTTTAGAATAACATTCATTAGCCCAGTGATTTCCTCTCTTGCAGCGTGGACATAACCCTGGGGCTTTTGGCTTTTTATAAATTTTAACCTTATTGTTTGCATTATTATCATTTTTTGGAGAATCAGAGCACTGTTTAGCAATGTGTCCCATTTTTCCACAATTATAACAACTTCCTGGAGGGCCAGGAGTACATTTTTTGCATTTGCTATTTTGTATTGCCAGACATTCTTGCAAGGTTTGCCCCTTTAGAGCAGCTGCCATAGACAGCCCTTGGATGTACCCTGTTTCTGCATCTGTACAGAGTCTGACATAGTCATTTAGGGTACCCCGACCCTTCCAGGGTCGAAGAGCTGCTTGACAGACTGCATTGGCATTTTTAAAAGCCAATTTTTTTACTAATATATTGCTGGTTTCTTGATCACTTATCAATCGTCCAGCAGCCTGAAGGAGGCGAGAGACAAAATCCTGGAATGGCTCATCAGGGCCCTGTTTAATCTTGCCTAATTCTCCCTTTTTTGATCCAGACTGAGGTAACTTTTTCCAGGCAGCCAAAGCAGCCCATCTAATTAAATCATAAGCGTAGGCAGGATAATTCAATTGCATACCTAAAGCCATAAAGGCCCCTTTTCCCTGAAGTTGGTCCAATGAAATTCCATTATTGATTGCATTATCATCTAAAGCGTAGCCTGCAGTGGTCTCTTCATATTCTGACAGCCAAAGAAGATAATCGCCACCAGTCAACACAGCCTTAGCTAACACTTTCCAATCTTGAGGTGGTAAGGCCTGACTCGCTATAGATTCAAGAATAGACATAGTAAAAGGAGCAGTAGCCCCATATTGTGTAGTAGCCATTTTTAATTCTTTGATATTCTTAAAAGGAAAGCCTTCGTATTCACTATACGGTTGTCCTCGCGCATTAACCCTTCTTTTTACTGGATAAACCTGAAATCCTTCCAGGTTCTCACCTTGTCTCCTTGCCTCTTGAAGTGCGCGCTGCAATGGGGATGTTACCGCAGGCGCGACAGGGCCAGGGCGTATGGGTACAGGCGGGGGCAACAAGGGCATTGGTCTAAATCCTACTTGAGCGACAAGAGGCATTGTAGAGGCCTCATGTTGATCAAATAAAGGTCTAGCCAAAGAAGAAGTACTACAACTCTTATGTTGTTGGTCCCTTAAATTAGCCTCAGATAACCTTTGAATCTGCTTAGCCATAACAGACAATTGTTTTTTAAATGTTTCAATCAAGTTTTCTAGGCCCTCCATTGGTTCCTTACATTGTGGGTTTGCCTGATCTTGAAGCATGAAAGCCTCATGTTGATGCTCATATTGGGAGGCCTCACGCTCAAACTGTTCCCATTCTTTTGGACCTAATTCTTCATCTGAATCTGAATCAGCTTCTCTATCAGGGTTATTGACTTGTAAATTATCAGGCCTATTGTTTATTTCGTTAGTCGTGGGGAGGTGGGGCTGCTCGTAACAGGGCTGCTCGGAGAGCGGTGGCGGAGCAGAGGGCAGGGGTGGGTATAAGGAGGATGCCACATTCCCTGTGGATTTGGATTTTCTTATAAAACTTTCTCAAGTTCTTTTTTCCCATTTACTAGACTCAGAGTCCCCTTTTAAACAGTCCTTAATTAGAGTCCAAATCAGAAACACATCCACAGGCACCTTCTCAGGGCCCCAAGCACAATAATAATCCTTAATCTTTTCTCCTACTGCCTTCCATGTTTCAACATTAACCGTTCCCTGTTCTGGAAACCAGGGGCAAACCTGATGCACAAAATCAACAAACCGATGAATTTGGAGCTTAGCTACAAGAATGCCCCTACTCTTTAACAAAGAGGAAATAACTTGTTCGAAAAGTTCCCGTTCTGAAGACGGGGAGTTACCCATTCTCAATCCCTGCGGATATGCCACTCCCTGCTACTTTCACTTTTCACTTACCCGGGTCCTCGTAGCAGCGGTCTTCTCAAAACTCCCGATTCTCCTTCCACTGGAAGAACGCTCCGAATGCTTGTGTTCCAAGCCCCACGTTGGGGCGCCGCGGCCAGCGCGGGGGAGGAGTCAGGCAAGAGACTGAAGACGCAGGGAGACCGATTGCTCAGGAGGCAAAAGGCGATTTATTAGAGGACTCCAGAGTTTTTATAGTGTTTCAAAACAAAGAGCAGTACAAGTCACTTCAGGACACTTTTCTTGTGCATGCAGCCAAGGTAAACATGTTCTTGGGCCCAGGAGAAACTTCTTTGTTGTGCAGCCCAGGAGGTAAACATGTTCCTGGGCCCATGAGAAACTTCTTTGTTTATGTTATGAAGCTATTCCCAGGTTCATATCAGCGCGATGCTTTGTCTAGAAGGCTGAGGTTACTGCAGGATGAGGAACTGGTTGAGGTCCAGCTTCAGTGTGTGGTTTTCCACACCCGTTCACTGCCGGACCCCTGGTTCCTGCTCCCAACATTCTTGCAATGAGGTTGCTTTTTATAGTATTAAATAGGAGACCATTGTTTTGTATTAAATTCCTGCACTGAAGCAAACAGATCAAACTAAAAATCAAAATGGAGTCACTTTTGCTAAAGTTCCAGGTTATCAAACTGAACTAACCTGACTTTTGGAGAAATCAGGATTAGAGAGCAAACAGTCAAATTTCAATAAGATAGTTTCTTTTTGTTTTTTGGCATTGGGCATTGAACCCAGGGTTCCTTTGCCACTCAGATACATCTCCAGTCCCTATTTATTTATTTAGACAGAGCCTCATTAAGTTACCCAGGATAGCCTACAACTTGAAATCTTCCTGCCTCAGACTTGTAAGTAGTTGGAATGACAGCCCTGTGCCATCAAACCTAGCAGAAGCTTATTTCAAGTGCCGTGATAATAAAGTCCCCTTTGCTCAGTCCTTACAAAGAAATAAGCAACCTAAAGTAAGCTGATGCTAACCACTTAGGTAGTTTCCTATTGTTCTCACTTTAGGAAAAAAAGTAACTTCGAACTGACCAATCTGCTTTAGGTTCCTTTATTTTTGCCCTCTTCAGGATTTCTCTGTCTATAAAACCAATCTCTTTTGCCCAGTGCATCAGAATGCTTATTTTGTTTCATGGAATGAAGCATTGCCTGACTCTAGAATAGAAAATAAGGCTAATTAAAAGCGTTGAACTAAATTTGTATAATTTTGTCTTTTGACAGTAGCTAAAAAGTAAAATCTAAACATCACAGAGCAAATCCAGCATTTGGTGACTTGTGCTTTAGCTTTAAAACATTTTCTTTTCCCATCACCAAAGTGAAATGCTTTCTGTATCGCTATATTTTTATCTTGTTTATATAGTTATCACCTATTGCTAAAACAAACCAAGGCACAGCTGCAGAAAAAAGCTTTTGTGTTGCTTTTAATATTTTCTTATATGGCGCTGGCTCTGAGCATATTAGTTCCTCTCAAGATCTTCTTATAATTAATGGAAACCTTATTAATGCAGATTTTGTTCTTTAATAGAATTGAGTTATGGCCCAAACTTGTACGTTAGGATAAAGCCCATATTTAATTTCCTGCTTGTGGATTCTATGGGGAGATACTTTATCATCATTGCCCTTTCTTCTTGAGTCAATTTAAGTGGATTCTCTCCATTCAACCAAAAATCCTTTGTCCAAATCAGCTTATTAAAAAAAATTAGAAAGTGAATTTCTGATGGAGAAACAGAGTTCAACTATGCGCTAGATCTGAGGTCAGCCTGCTGATTTTCTGAAGAGTCATTAGTGATAGCAAAAATAATTAAAGCTCTGTGGGTCATACAGTCAATGACTCAACTCCCAACAACTCTGCCACTGCAGCCTGAACGCTCTAAAGTGCAAAGAAACGGCCACGCTCCTGTTCTGCTAGAACTTTATTTTCAAAAGCATGGGTTGTAGTTTGCTTGTGATAGATTATAAGCCCCTTACAAGGAAGGGACAAGTATGCCATTTAATGACATTTGCTGAATGACTGGGTGAGCAGACTGATAGCACATCAATAAATAGATTACTCCAGCTTAAATTTTTTTTAAAAAGTAGCAAACCACATTCCCAAGATCTCTTTGTTGCAGGGCCAGGGATGTGGCTCAGCAGCACAGCACCTTCCTGGCAAGTACAAGGTTGTAAGTTTGATTTCCTGTGCACACACACACACACACACAATCTCTTGTTGGACCCCTAACTGTAAAAATCCATCTACTACTACAGTCTCAGAGTTCGACTGTGCCACAGCAAATAATGCCTTCAGGACCTCCGGCAGTCAAATTTATCTAACCAGCTAGAAGCAACAGGCTGGAGAAGAATTTCTTGCAAGCATAAACACCATAGGTATGCCCCTCCGGAATTTGCAGGCCTCACTGGTGCTGGTTACCTAACCTGGGCTCCTGAGCAGAAGGTGCTGTCTGCTGATAAGCAGCTTCCGGTTTTATCTCTTTGGCTTTTGTGTTCTAACTACAGGCCCGTCCACTTGGGATTTGGCTCCAGCTGCTAGAGAAATGAGATGAAACATCAGGCTAGAATCTGGGAACTGCCGTGGCTGGAAAGCCCGCTGCTGAGGCTCCTCTGAGTCACCCTTCCACCCTGACCCTGGGTTGTGCTGGCCAACTGGCCACCAGCAGCACTTTCCGGTATCTGTTTTCCCCTTGGCAGTGTGTTAAAATTATCCAGAGAGCAAAAAACAAAAACAAACAACAAGCAGATACCCATGCCCACCCCTGGCTGGAGATGACTGGAAAGTTTTAAAGGACCATGGCAGGCATGGTTCTTTAAAGCCTCCTTACCATACTTTGATGATTTTAATATGCACTGAGGATAGAGAGCCACAGGTCTAGATTTGTAGCCCATGAGAATCATCTGGGATTCTTTTTTTTTTTTTTAAAGACAAATGCTTAAGCCCTATTTCAGATCTCATAAATCAAAATCTCACAGGGTGTGGGATCTGGGAGTGTGTGTTTTTGAAAGCTTTCTGATGTGACAGGAAGAGCTAGGGATCAGTTCCTAGGCCCTGCAGAGCACACACTGTGGTAAGCTGGGCTTAGTTTCTGCAGGTTGGAGCTTCAGACGCCTAAGCCTATGAGCTGGGAACAGAACTGGGGTTGGGACAAAAGTGAATGGTGGACCCTGGCCTCTTCATGGTAACCCGGCCCACCCAGTTTGGTCCCCAAGACCTGTGGGGTAGGTGCACATCCTGTTTGCATGGGGGACACCTGTTGTATCTATGCTGAACCTACTGTGCACCAAGGCTGGGGTTGGGAGGCCTGAGCTCTTGTGGCCATCTCAGCTGAGATGAGTTCTGCAGATTTGGCTCCTCTTCTACCAGGGTAGATTGCTGGTTTCTGTGTGAGAACGATGAGCCTGGATTGAACCTCAGATTGCCTTGTAAACCTGAGCCCCTGTTTAGTTCTTACCAACCCCCTCCTTCCTGCCCTTCAGGACCAGACTTGCAGCAGGTACCAGGGAAAAACCAGTTCCACCATCTGAAATCCCAATTAACTAGGTCTGAAACAAGGCTTGTAAGTTCATATTTTGAAAAAGCTCCCCAAATGATTCTGAGAAGAAAGAAAGGAGAGGCAGAGGGGGTTAGGAAGTGAGCCTTGCTTTGCCAAGTGTGGTGGCGCACACCTGTAATCCCAGCACTTGGGAGGCTGAGGCAGGAGGATTGCTGTGAGTTTGAGGCCAGCCTGGGCTACAAAGCGAGCTCAAGGCCAGCCTGAACTGCATAGTGAAATCCTGTCTCAAAAAGACAAAAATTAAATAAATAAAATAAAATTTAATAAAAGCTTGCCTCGCCCTGTTTGGATCCAGCCTTCTTCCCCAGTCTTTATTTAGACTGCTTATCTAAAGAGAAAAATAGAAGCTAGAAGATAGGAGACAGGGAGATAACTCTTGTGTATGGGAAGGAGCCCAAGAGATGGAAGGAGGGGAGGGGAAGAGGAAGGGAAGGCGAAGAAAAAGAATTAAGATGTGCTATGAACGTGGGCCAGCTCCGCATGAGGAATGTAATCCTTAGACAGCACAAACACGTGTTAATGAAAATTTTAAAATTAAAAAAAGAAAACGGTCCTGCAGAGATCAGACCCCTCACACTGTGGTTTCTCGGCTTCCTGGATAAGATGCCAAACGATTTATTATTTTTTATACCTCCCTCCTCCATTCTTCTTAAGTTAATTAAATCTCTTTTAATCCTTTTTATTCCTCTACTAATTAACAAATTGTCCCCCCTCCTTCGCTTCCCCCCTTTGTGTTTTTTCTTCTTCTTTCCTCCCTCTCTCCCTTCTCTTTCCCTCCTCCCACTTTCCCACAATCCCTTCTTTCCCTCCCCCTTTTCTATCTGTGCTTTTAGGACTTACCCTAACATACTTTACATACACACTTAAAAGTCTAAGATTACCATTGCCATTTCTCTTCCAATGAGCACAAGACTCTTCAGAGTGCAGCAACCACAGGCTCCCTCTCATCTTCAAACTGGCTGCTACTACTGACAGATTTTTTTTTGTGGGGGGGGATTTGAGCTCTTCTGTGTTGCTCAGGCGGATCTTGAATTTACAGTCCTCCCACTTCAGCCCCCCGAGTTGCTGGGGTTCCTGCATCAGCGGTTATCGTTTATTTTAAAAATCAGCACTATTCAGATGTATCCTACGTATGTTTATTTATATGCATATAAGTACATATATGTTCAAATATATTGTGTGTACTACATACAAGGCTGTGTAAAACACACTGCCTTTTGTATCTAACTTGTCTGAGTTAGCTTAGTGTCCTTTTAAAGTGTGTCTTTTATTCAAAGGTTCTTGACTCAAACTCTTGATTATCAAAAATGTCTTTGTTCTGATCCCATTCCTAATGCTACGTTAGCTGTGTAGTGCATTTCAAGTTTGAAGTGATTCACTTGGCATCATTTTTATTCATATACACATAAATAAAGAAGATATGATTCCATTACCTTCTGGCTCTGGTTGCTGTGAAGGACGTGCTGTCGGTCTCATATTTTCATTTTGTAGTTAATTTTCTTTTCTTTTGCTTTGTGTTTATCTTTAACTAATATGTTCAGGTGAATACTGACCTCTCCTCTCCTCTCCTCTCCTCTTCTCTCCTCCCCTCTGCTCTCCTCTCTTCTCCTCTCTTCTCCTCTCCGCCTCTCCCTTCTCATTTCTTCTCTCTCTCTCTCTCTCTCTCTCTCTCTCTCTCTCTCTCAGCATTAAGAATTGAACCTAGGACCTTTACATTAAGCTACATCACCACAGCCCTTATTCATACATTTTATTCATACAGGGTCTTGCTGTGTTGCTAAGTTTCCCTGTACGGGCTCAAACTTGCTGTATGATCCTTCTGGCTCAGCCTCTTAGAGTGCTAGGAATAAAGTGGCTGCCCCCACACATCTTCTATCCCGCTTCTTCAGTCTGAGACTTCATGTCTCTATTAATCCGAAAAATGTTCAGGCTGTATTGTTCCCCTCTTCCACTCTCTCTTTTCTGTCTTTGGAGATATGTTCAC